ACATGAACATACACACACTTTCAGTCTGAGTAGGTGCCGTTCTTCTTATTCTACTTTGATTCTTGGCCCCAGCCTCGACCTGTATCTTCCTCGTCAACATCTACACACTCTCTCACACACACACAGTCCACCTCTAAATGTCAAAGTGTCAAATGTGACGTTTCTGCCTTTTTTTTCATTTTCACTCTGGCACATCTCCTGGTTACATCCTGATAGCGTAGTCCAATGCATTAAATAGCACAAATGACATAGTAATACATGTAATACAAGAACATCTCCCGTCCTAACAAACCCACTGACATCTAACATGCACCTCTTCTTACTCTATGACCTACAATCCTTATGACTTACTTATGACATATTCTTATGACATACTATTCTTCTTACTCTATGACCCACTATGACTATAACTGTATGTTTACTATTTATTTATTTATTTATTTATTTAAATGTATTTTGTATGTTTACTGTAGGTATTGCGTTTTTATCCAGAGTGTCAGTCACTCTGGATAAAAACGTCTCGTAAATGATCTTGTATGTTTACTGTAGCTAGATCTGTAGCTAGGTCTCGTAAATGTATTGTAATGTAATATTCAGCCACTCTGGATAAAAACGTCTCGTAAATGTATTGTAATGTAATATGATGTATTGTAACATGTGCATTATAAAACAATAAGTTGTAAAATATATAACACATTTCATATTTTTTGTACAAATACAAACATGGACGTTTTTTCCCATTATCATTCCTTGTACTCAAATGCTGTTCTGACGCAGTATTAATACACCATTATCAAAATGTGTAATTTTTTTATCACTGTTTTCAACACGTTTTTGCTCTTCAGTTTTTTCCATTAATTGAAATCAATCTTCTTAAGTTTTTTTTCATAGTTACTTTGAACTCTATGAGAATTTCTGCTCGTGCAACTGAAGCATCTCCACCTTATAACACCTCCCTGTTCTCCTCTGCAGATGTTGTTCATTGTTTTCTACAGCAGTGGTTCTCAAACTGTGGTACGCATACCACCAGTGGTACGTGGGGAACATTTACGTCACATTTACATTTTCAATTTAATAAATGAATAAATATGAATCATACAATGCACAATTAATACAACATTTAAACCTAAACCTCTTTCTAAACATCTCTCCTGTGGTGGAAGCTAACAGTGAAGGCCTCTGCTGCTGTATTCTAATGTTGGTCATCATGGTGGTACTCAGAGAGATCACTGTTGTGGTACAGTAGAAAAACATTGAGAACCACTGGTCTACAGTACAGGTTTCCTTTAACAGTACACACAAAGGCAACATCCCATTGATAAAATACTTCTGCTGTGTTCTGTGTATACACTTCAGTTTGGCCTGTGTTTGAAATACTCCTGCCTCACGAGTGGTTTTTTTTTTCAAGTTTAATCTCACTTTAATCTCTGTCATAAATTCTATTAGTTTCCATAGGTTTGAACCCTTATCTTGGTTCACAATGAGCAATGAAAGCAAATTAATTAAATATAACTTTTGAGATATAATATATAACTTTTAAGAAACTGGAAATACAAACTGGTTTGTGCAATGTTGTGACAAATCAAATTAAATGTATTCGTACTACAAAAGTTGTACTACACACTCAAACTGCAAGGTGAGACTAGCTTAAAAAATGTACATTAATTTCAGCACAACACAGGGATAATAGATAAAAAATAATATTGAAGAAATTCATAATAAAATAAGAACAAAATGATATATTTTTCTCAGTGTTTACCCAACCACTTACATTGAAAAGTTCATCTCAATATTTCATTTCATTTCATCATTTCTATAATAAATAATCAGATGTAACAAGACACATTATCAACTTCTCTGTTGCCATAAAGACAGAAGCAGAGAAACCTCAGTTAATAAGACATAGTGTCTGTTTAACGTCAATATAAAATACGGAATGTTGTCATGTGGCTTCTTGAATACATTTCTTTTAAAGGGAGTGGTCCACTCTCTTTAAAAGAGGCGACCCCGCCGTGGGGAGTATTTGCGGCGGGGGGCGCATCAAGTCAGATCAATTTAATTTCTAGTATTGTTTTTATTTGTGCCACGGTGAGGGAAATTTACTGCTGAGTAATTTTATTTCCTTATAGCAGTGAGAATACCTGAGAATCTATAATGATGAAGTTTAGAGGAGTTACAGCAGTGAGGCAGCAGGAGTTCAGGAAACACTGACTCTTGAGAGACTCTTGACAAACTACTAGTTAACATAAACATACCGTACGTAGGCTGGCGTTCCTTGATGTTCAGGACTATGTCATAGTAGTCACTATTTTAAAAATCCCAGGCACCAGTGACTTTCAAATGGGAATGGTTGAAATAAGAGCTACACAAAAAAACCTAAGTGCCATATCTGAAAGAGTAGAACCAGAGGAAGGAAAGGCTACCACAGGTCATCGTTGTAGCAGCTGAAAGCACATCACCTGTCAACCCTAAAGCATCCATTAGTTTAAAAAATGTTGCCATATAAAGGTAATAAAGTCTGATCAATTTTGAGGAATATTTAAAGTAGATCAAATAAAAAATATGCACAAAGATTCAATGAAAAACATTTTTTAAAAATTTAAAAAAAACAGTTCTCCGTTGATTGAAAGCCTGCTCTGCATCAGTATATTACATGAAATGGCTTCTCCTCTCATTTCTTTTTGACTCTAAAACACCATGTTCTCACTCACCTCTGTACATTGTCAGAGAAAAAAAGCTGCTTTTCACATTTGAGACACAGGTGAGCGAGTACTGTAAAACATCACTGAGCCCATGAAAGGTCATGTATTCTTTGTGATGTAAATGATGTCAGTACGTGTGTGTGTGCGACTCAGACTGAGAGTTAGTCATGAGTATGCACCGTGGTGGGTGAGACGGTGGTTGGGTTTCGCAGCGGCGTGGGGTGCATACGCGCACACACACACACACAGACACACACACACACATAGGTGCTAAACATGGCTCTGATTCCCGGTATCATTAACTTCAAACCTCCCCAGTCATACCACAGGTGCAACACAGGCGGCCCTGAATTGTCCCAAAAGTTCTGAAACTGCTGAGAATCAACTTGAGTTTCTGATGAGCAGAGTTCAGACTGTCTGCTTTTGATAGAATGTTTGTGATTTTTAATAAACAAAATTGCCTTAATGTCACAGATAGTCACGTCATAACTGCTTAAAATATACGTTTTTTAGATTACTAAATTCTTAATTTACTTTTGTTGACATTTGTAAAAAAAAAAAAACATATTTTATTAGTTACTCAAATGTACAGCATAAAGTTGCAAGAATTTGAGTAGTCAGTCGATTGTTAGAACAGATGAGGACAAAACTACAAGAACGGCCGAATACAACACAATATAGGTTTGAAAGTCACTAACAATTACAGAGAAACAAAAACTTCCAAAGAGACCCATTCAAAAAGGCTGTTGGAACGTGGTAGACAATTGAAGCATATAGTTTGGAGAGATGTAAACTTACCTACGTGTAGAGAAGACAAGGGGAGGCGTGTAACACAAAAACTCTGTGCCCGTTGTGAAGCAGGGAGGCCGGTGCAGAATACTGAATGGATGCTTCAGTGCCTGAACAAATACATACAGAAGGGTTAGCTGTTAGTTAGTTGTTGAGAAAAAACATTGCAATGCTCTGCAAAAATGATGCGAACAAATACTGGAACTGGAAGTCATTTTATTTTACAGTAACTGGTGAATTATTTCCCCTTTCTTATTTAAATGTTATACTTGAAAATATACTATATATGTTATACTTCAAAATGGTTCTGCTGTGCAAATGACAAGCTTTTCTAGAAGGAAGATATTCAAGCTGTATCCACAGAGACAGTTTACAGTATGGTAATTATGGGTATTTTTTCAGATTTAAGGAGAATAAAAAAGCATCAATAAACACAGAAAGCTGAAACTCTCTTTGGTTATTTGTTTCCTTTAATGTGCCGTCATCATTCCAAATTTACAAATGTCCAGGAGGAAAATTGGTCGTGTCACAATTAACTGAAATGAAGAATGAGTCACTGTTCAGCTACTGCTCCCTGGTGTCTTCATTAAGATGATTTACACAAAGATTCCACTCTTGTCAAAGTGCAAAACCCCATGTGGTTGGGTGCACTAACGATAATTGAATTTCTGTTTGTGAAGATTTTGGTTTTAGAAAACTGTATGCATTCAGCGTTTAGTAATACTTGTAGCTAATGTTCTGTTCTAAATATCACTGTCTATACTGACCTAATGATGCTTTGCTAAGCTCAGATTGTGTATATATTGGGCAGACTTTAGAACCCTGGTTTCCAAAGTGGGGGGAAGTTATTTCTGGGACCAGCAGGTAAAATCAGTTTAATTTTTGATCATTTTTTTATTTGTGCAAAATTGTGAAAAATTCATTGATTTGTAATTTAGTAACGTTTGGGGGTTTTTGTGTGTGTTTTATTTGAAATAGCTCTGTTATCTGTCTAGTCGTGACATGGGGAGACAAGGGGCACAGCTTTATGTATTGTATGTAACTTTTACTTTCACTATAAAATCATCACACGACAGATACTTATACTATAGCACTTGAGAGAATACACAATTCTTTCACACGGGTCTCATCAGCGTTTAATAAGTTTGACACTGGTTTACGGCAAATTAATTTTTATAATCTGTAAAGCTTACACTAAATCGATCATGCGACTTCTTTTTTAACGGGTGATTTGCTACAAGTTACTTGCAGCTGTAGGTGTATGACCCACTTACAATTAAAGCTAAACAAAACTTGGATACATTTTTGCCTGATGTTAAATAAAAACTCGCATATAAAGTGACAAAATATAGACTTAGCATTTCCTCTGCTAACATCTGTGACACACTTTTACACACACACACACCTGTAAATACCATACAGAGCCACTTTCTCTTATCTGATACCATCCCTGATAACATCTAGAGAAATGTTATGAGAATGTGAGGAAGACAAGACAAAGAAAAGAAGTTAGGAACAAATGTGTGTTTTTATTCATTTCCAATTCAAGTCACATAACAGAAATGGAGCGGTTTGTTTTCTTATTGAGTCTAAAACACATCAATAGAGAAGCACCAATACCTCTTTTTTTAAATTCTTTTGTTGCTCTGTAGTAGTTCATGTAAAACATTTCTTAAAAACAGGATCTTTAAAAAAAATTTTAAGAAAAAAAAAAGTTTAAAAAATGCCCAAACAACACAAATGGAATGTTTTTGTGAACAAGAAAAGTAATAGAAAGAAAATTTAAAAAACAATTAATATCACTGACTGTCAGAGAGAACTTTCATAGTAACAAGAGTTGGCTTCCTGTAGATGACTAGGATTTGTCTTTAATCTGATATCAATCAAAATATAGTCGCAAAATCAGGTTTTGTTTTGTTTTTTTAAATACCCTAGCCACTTCCCGATATGCCAATTTATTCCTAAATTTTTGTAATACCTAGAATATCTTCAAACCTAAACTGCCGACGTTCTTGCAGTTTGGCGCCATCTCTAGGCTGAATAGGCGTACTGCAGCAGGACGGCTTGACCTGGTGCCAGAGTGATTTTGTCCAGCTCGACCGTGGAGTCTTCTTTGAGGTCTGAAGCGTCAGAGGAGCCAGAGATCAGTCGGACTACGGCCGACTGGGGCAACTCAACTCCCTCTGCATGACGAGAAAACACAATGTCAGAAGAAGCTCATGGTGGACGAGATGCTTTCTGTGAATATATTTTTTTCTACTCATCTCTGCTAATTTCTATGCGTTTTTTAAATTACTAACCTGTAGGTGTCAGCGAGAGTTTCAGAGCCTCAGGTGCGTCTCCCCAGTTGACGGCTGTTATAAATCTCTCACTCTGATCCCAAAGACGGAGGAAAGCCAGAGAGTTGGGGGAGGAGTAGAGAGGGTAGTAGTCGCCATAGAGGAGAGATCGCTCCTTGCCTCTCAGCTCGCTCAGGGATCTGAACCACATTTTCATAGCAACATGTTGTTTCCTCTCAGTCTGTAAATAAGTGGATAGGTATATTATTAAATGTCTTGAACACTACAAACTCTTGGGTTTGATTTGTTTTTTCCAACAGTAACATTTTACCTCAGCTGCAGCATCAACAGTTTCTCCTTCAGCAGGTTCCTTCTCAACGTCCCAAACCATGCTAGGATATTGTTCACCCTAATAGACAAAGAAAAGATAAGTTGAACACAATTTTAGAAGCTGCAGGAAAAAAAAACAACAAACATTTGGCTTTGCACTCTGCTGACACTTACCGTTTTTGAACGAAGACCGATCTCATCTCCATAGGTAAACACTGGAGTTCCAGGCATGGTGAACAGAAGGAGCTGGTAGAGTTGCATCAGGGCCTGAGTTGCAGCCCGTTTAGACATGTGATCGTTTTGAGCAGCACCCAGACCCCAACCCAGACTTCTCTGCTGAGTGTGAAGGCTGTTCAAAGCCTCGATGCGCTCCACACCTGCACACAGCCATTCATTATTATCATTATCAATTGCAACAGGTTACTCCAAGGTTGATTCTTGTGCTTGGACAAGAAGGCTTTCAAACAAACCTCCAGCTTGGCTGCTGAGCAGGTCTGACAGGAGTAGGTCTACACCAGTGGTGTTGACAAGCTGAGACACTTCTGCAGCTGAGGCACCTTTAGCCACAGCTATCAAGGGCCTGAGGGAAAAGATAATTGCATCAGGTAAGCCACAGTGCACCGGGAAGGAAGCAACAGCAGTATTGTTTACAGCAACGACAAACAACACATTTTACTGAATGAGAAATAATAGTTGTAACGAAAACCTCTCTATAATTCCTTCAAAGAACAAATTTGAAGGTTAATTAAAAATTAAATTAAAGTAGTAATTTCTTGGAGTATCCACAAGGTGTCGCTTTAGTCTGAGTTACTTTCCTCAGGACATGCAGCCCCTCTAGATGATCCTCTGACCCCCACCTCCTGCCCCCTACAGAAGTGGAATGCATTCCAGCTCCTCTTTGTCTAATGAAACAGCCCTGTCTGTGGACAACTTAACATCTCTTTCAGAAGATATTTTCCAAGTTTGGTAGTAAACGTTTGTAGAAAATGATTTTATATTTACGCCGATGCATTTAGACACAGAGAAAACCATCCCACGTACAAGTTGTGTTACAGATATGAACTCAAATGTTGGCATCTTCACCTCTTTGTAGTTCCCTCGGTGCGATTGCCTTGAACAACAGATTGAAATTGTGACCATCCCTGTGTGTTGGCAACGTCGGTCAAGCCCGAAACTTTGATGCCATCGAAACCAAAGTCCAACCAGTATTCTGAAGCAGTCTGAAAGAACAACATGTACTTGTTTAATCCTCAACACAAAAAACAACAGTGAAGGTATATGAAATAAATGAAATTCCTACTTCGACTTTGTCCATCACATCAACAGCAACGCTGCTCCTGAACCACGGAGATGTTCCATTGTAGTTTGGAGTCAAGTCAAGAACCACAGAAATGCCTTTAAAAAAAAGGAAATATTACTCATAGCAGACAAAAGCTTTGCTTCAAATGCTACAACTTCTAAAAGTGAGTCTGTTGCTGATTTCAGCCTCACCATGACCTACCTTTCTTGTGGGCCTTGTCCAGTAAAGCTTTTAATGTATCCTTCTTTCCTTGGTTTGGATCGATGGATTGAAGTTCCAGGGTGTTAGGGTTGTCAGTCTGAACGGTGTGTAGAGGGCCGAGAACCAGACCTTTAATCTTCAACTGGTTAATAACATCCAACTTTACCTCAGCACCTACAACAATGCGTACAAGAGAGTAAGTAATAGTATCATGAGAGCTTTACAACTGACAATTACACAAATGTGTGAAAATGTTGCAGGGTCAAAAAGGTCAGGG